ATTAGTTCTGCCCCAGTTATGACCGATTCATATCCTCCAGTAAACCAAATATTCGATAATATAAACAAAATATTCCATATCTACAACCTATTATTTTTTAAAACAAATAATTCTAAAAAATAAAAAAACAATATCAACGCATTGGAAACTAAATTTACTGGTAATTTACTTATAATTCATGTCCCAGTGGAGTCCGCAGGGGGGGGGGGGCTAACGGGCTGACCCCCCCCCCCCATTGCCAGTATTATTATTTATTATTACTTAAAAAAATAAATATTTATCAAGTTTCAACTGTCAACTATAGTATAGGTAAGCAAGACGTAAATTTACTTAACAGAATGAATTCATTTTTGAAAAACATTGTATTTGCATACCAATTTTAATTTTGATGAGATTTGAACTTTAAATGCTTATAAAAAATAACAGTGATGCCTATGTTAATATTTTAGCTATAATAAAAACTTACGTATTACATTTTTAAGCTTTTTGACCGGATAAATAATATTTGTTGATATTTATAGAAAAAAAAATGTTTAATTAAGCAAATACACTCCAAGTGAGGACGATATAACCAAGCTGGTTACCAAACTATTTTAATAAATTTCCTCCCCCCTCACTGAAAAATTCTGCTTACGCTACTGAGTCATGCTATAATGAAGTGTACCAACTGGCCCGCTATAATTTTCGTCCCGATTATTACTTGGTCTATAAGTATTTTTTCATAGAAGATTTTGATATAAACGTAGGTACATCAGATATTTTTTTCATCTCTATAGGATTTTCAAACACACATTATATTATGAAGCATTATTATATGTAGCTGCTATTGTTAAACACCCTCTACCCAATATTCTATAGCATGACATTTTATAAGTACCTATATTGAAATTCTTAAAAACTGTTCACCAAGTCCTTAAGTTGTTGAATAATTTGAACTTTAATTAATTTAAAATCTGCTCCTAAAATATTCGTTTGAAAATAGTATGCCTTACCTTGCCTCAATAACAAACAATTACTACCGACGATCGTCTATAGTAAAGAATAACGGTAATAATATTACAATAAATATGGTTTGCCAAAATACGAGTATATTTACATTTTAAATGAACGTTTAATTCGATAATTTCAATCAGAATAGAATCACTGATAATAATATTTCCTATTTCACACAAAATCACGAAACAAAACAGAATATCGGTTGATTGAGGCAATGGTTCCACGGGTGCATTATAATTTAATATTATATTACATTATATAATGTCGGCCCAATTGCACGCCTATGTTATTATAGATACTATTATTATACAATACAGCTATATATATATATATATATATATATTATATATAGGTATACGTATAATATAATCGATTAGGCATTTTAATAGTACTGGTATTTAAAACCGTCAAACACGACGAGGGCCGAGGACAGGGAATTTTAAGTCATTTTGACGAAGAGCCACACAATAATTTTATATCTTATATGACAAGCGTTTAGGATTCACTTCAATAGATTAGTCAAACGATATACCAAGGTATTCTCGAGGTGGCTGCAGTTAAAAGTATTTTATAAATAATTTTAAGTAGAAAAATATATGTAAATTATTACAACCGTATTTGGGTGTGACAAGAGTAATTGAATATTACAGTATGGAGAGCCTAATCTGGAAATCGTATCACCACCCGATTGAATACTTAATTTGGTTTACTTTTAATCGGTTTACATGGTAACACATTGCCGCATGCGCTGCAGACGCAATTCGTCATAACAAGGTCACTATAATTTACATGCCACTCAAAAAATCATATAAAAAAAAAAAGTTATGTCGCCTGACATCTGGGTAGTAAGACTTTGAGTAAGAGGATGTTAATTTTTAAAATGGATTTTGATTAAAATAACCGAGTTCCCCATGTTTTAATAAAAAAAAAATGTAAATACCTATTATTGTTTCTACTGAAATATCAATAAACGTAAATAAGTGAATATATTAATTTTTTACGGTGACATAAATGGTTTTTGAAATATTAAAATCCACTTAGGTTAAAACAGTATAATGCTTGTAAATAAATCAAAATTAAAATCCGTCTAATCAACGTCCAGCAGATGACGTAGTGGCAGTCAATTATAGGTAAAAATACATTTTTTATTCGTTTGACATCATTCTTCTTAAAGTTTTTTATAGGTTTTTCGTTACCTAATAACTATTAAAACGTCGATTAATAACTTCAATAAATATCAATAACAATAAACTAATAATCAATATCATTATTATTATTATAATAATATTCTCGTATAAAATATTTGTTTAGTCATTTATTCGTGATATTTTTTTTATGACGAACAAAACATATTTTGAAATCATTTATACCATGCTATATTTTTCAATGTTTTAAAAATATTTATTTTTATTATCACGATAAAATGTCCCGGATATGTGGTGCAGCAGTGACATAACTCGATAACCATTTATCACCACCAAACTTTTAAATTAAATACTCATTATGGCGAATTCGAGCGTATCCGCATTAGTATAAAGTATACATGCATCGCAGTATGTGCATGTTGTTTTACGATAATTTATTATATTTTTCGTTTTGCGTTGTACGTTCGATCATAACTAATCGAAAGCTAAAATAATGCGCAGTACACAGCAAGTCATTTGCATATTTTTGTCAGCGAGATGGACATTTATAGGTCATAGTCCGTATACATTATAATATTATATCTCATTTTTGTTGTCTATAGCAATTGCACCTAAAACACACGAAATTGACTTACGGTGTTGTATTTTACGTAACGATAATAACTAGTCGATAATATTTTTAATTTTGTAATAATATTATTGTTAAGTATAGGTACTTACTTTTGGTACCGGCGCGATGTATAGGCAATTTTGGTACACTTAAGTTTTTTTATCGATATCCGTGCTGTGGATATTATCATAGATATTAATATTAAAGAATGATTAGGCCATACTTTGTGCTTAGCATACGGAAATGTACATGAAAATATTTTTAGGTTATATAGGTCTTAAATTTATACACAATTATTGATAATTTATGGTAATACCAGAATGAGTGGCAATGATAAAAAACAGTCTTTCTCTCTTACCCATTCCGGCACACTTTTCTCTATTTTATTATTATAGCCATAGCCTGTCCATTCTTTAATATCTATGGACTATGGTTGATATACGACGTCAAGTGATTATCCTGGGTCACCATCAAACACATGAAGAACTAGAACCACCGCCGGATATAATCGTATATTTTATAATAATAATAATGATAATAAAAATAATACGTATTATTGTTGATTTTATTGAACTGTAGTTGTTGATATTTAACGACTTTGCATTTATTATTATTATTATTATGGTCGTTTATCAAAGAGCCGAAATGTATTGTTTTCTGATATGCAAACTATTATGCTTAAACATATTAAATCATAATATTATATTCCTCTTTCCACCGCTGAAACGGATGACGGTATTGTACATTTTGTATATTATACGAAATTTATCTTAGGGTTTCGCTCAATAAATAAGTAATATTTTAACGTAATCGAGATTTGTAACAAATTATTTGTATATGTGTGGAAATATAAGACGAACCGTTATAATAAATGGGGTGTGTTTTTTTTTTTTTTTTGCGGAAACTGTAGTACTTTCCGTTTATGGCCGAAAAAGGGTATTTTCGGCGGAAATGTCAACACTGGCGCCATTTTAAAGTATAATATAATATCTTCATCGTCATTATTTTTTTTTACAACTTTATCCTGTGTAATCGATAATATTTCACAGTATTTTAATAGTGTGCTTACTATACAAATCGATAGATATATTATTCATTAAAAATATCGGACAAGCCCTGCGAATGTTTTGAGCTGCTGAAAATATCAAAGCGTTGTGGTTCGCGTAATATAATACCTATCGGATAATATTCGCTCATAAATAATGTGAAACCGAAAATACCGAACGCCTCCGTGAATCAAGTATATAATACACGGCAGCGGTATAGTGAACGAGCAGGTATATCCCGACCCGGGATAATGCTCATCAACACCCACTTTCGTACTGGAATTTTGCAATACATTATCATTTATAATGAATTTAATATGTATATTGTGTTATATAAAATGGTTACGGGAGAGCCACCATAACGCATATCTCTCTCTCTCTCTCTCTCTGGCTCTCCCTGATTTCTCTCTCCCGCAAACATACACTATATAGAGTAGTCATTATATCTATATATTACCTCGACCTCAGGTTAATTCTAATCAACACGACAACACCCACCTTTGTAAGGGAATTTCGCAATACATTATCATCTCTAATGAATATAATATAATATATACATATTGTTTTATACAACGTTTAAGAAAGATCCGTACACACACACACACTAACACATTAAGTACTTTCAGTGGCGTACGCAGGGACAGGATTCTAGGGTTCCGACCCCTTGAAATTTCTTCCTTTAACAAAAAAATCAAATTTACCACCATTTCAGTACACAGAGCCGATCATTGTTTGTCATTTTCAATAGATATATTATAAATTGTTAAATATGACAAATACGTCGATAATCATAGTTCAGTATTTTGGCTAATTTAGAACATTACTAAACGTCTGCAATAACCATCGTATGGTGTTTCATCATGTATCATCGTCCATTGGTTGTTACTACGTTTATAAATTACGACCCAAAGAGGCTTTCTAGATGACCATAGGTGCCCGGGTTGAACACTCGAGTGTTCTTAATGTAGACTAAACTTCAGACTAACTATAATTTGTTGTAAAAAATTATATAAAAACTCTTTAGAAAAAAATAATGTAAATTATTTACTCAGATAAAACCCTAATCGAAGTAAAATCCTGTGCACGCTACAGAGTACTTAACTATAGTTATAGTTACAATTATGCCATAATATTTATTGTGAATTATTATCATCGACCACACGTCTACCATCACGGCTTTGAAAAATTGCACGAGAGAGGAAGATGGATATCAAGACACAACCGCCCGAACCCAGAGGCGCCACCGGTCGTCGACCGTCTAGTCCGACGGGCTCTCGGATCACTTCCTTCCGGTTTCGAAAAATCACGTTATATCGGACTCTCCTCTACTCGCCGTGGACAATGAAACGTAGTGTAAACTTCAGATATACTCTACATCGTATAAGAGGAACATGTACACGTCATTTAAAATTTCCGGATCCAGCATGGGTCGAGACGGGTAATAATTGTTCAGTGAGTATACGCCATTATGTGATAATGATACACTATGTGTATGCGGATTTCGAGAATTCATCTTTGTCATTTTTGTAATTAAAATTGAACTTGAAGTCATTTACAAATCTGCCGTCCTGGATCTACTACTTCCGGCTGCCGACCGAATAAAATATCGCTATCAAATTATACGCGGGTTGTTGTATAGCACTGCGCACTGCGCAGGCTACAGCTGATATCATAATAATACTATAGCGAATTGAAATGGAGCGAAACCTCTAAACAGTAAATACCGGACATTCGAGTTCATTAATAATTTGTCCTCTGTTCGGAGGTTATCTTTAGGGGGGGGGAGGTTTTACTTTATTATATATCATACTGCGTAATGCAGTGACAATAACTGCGTAAATACCAAGTACGATCTACGTTTAGGCTGCTGCTGTCGGATCAAAAGGCATTTTTCGTATAATGATATGTTGGAAAAGCGCGTTTGTGCAATCGGAGGGATTCGTTCCGGTAAAATGAGTCGGTACAAGTGACCGCACGTGCATACAATTGAAGAACGGCTATAATACGTATATTATGTGATACGATTTATTATAGCTATAGCTTATCGGAATTTGTATCATGTTCAATTTCGTATTGTTTTAAATTCCATCGTAATAATATTATATTATTATTGTTAAATGTTTCGTTTAGAGATTTAACTTTATTTTTTTATAAACTATTCACCTTTTTGAAAATATTGTGATATCATACTAATATTCAAAATATTATTTATATATAATACCTATTATATGTATTTTTTTTTTCAAAATTCACACGCATAGTTTAAAAATTTTTTTGTTCTTCAAATTGCTATTTTTTTTCCCATTTTACTTCATCTGCAGTTAGTGTTGTATCCAATTCAACGAATATATTTAATTATTTTACAGTTAAGCGTTCTGGTCATTTTTTTTTAAATTACATTGTATCATACCCAAAAGTCAAAATTAAAGAATTTTTTTTTTTTGGATAACAACATAGGCCATTGGGTGTGGTGAGGGAACTGTGGAGTTTTCGGTTGGGTAGGTTGGTACACGTGTGTGTTGTATTTTTGCAGAATTTCTAATGGGGCACCCGTCGCAGCCGACCCCTTAGTCCGCTCGGCCACTCCGTCCCCCGAAATTAAAGAATTATATCATAATAATAGTACATTTAGGCATTTCATTTAGCTCTTAATTTTTATATTTAAATAATGATTTAACCACCCAGATAGAACTATTGTGACTTGTGGTTATTTATTATTTTTATTAATTTTTTAAGGCATAAACTACAAGGTTATTAGCCAACGTTACTTTTTTTGAACATTGGGAAAAATAGATTGAATTTTCATTACATTACACTACACTAAATTAATTAATTACTTTGTGGTTATTAAAATATTTAAAATCGTTGATAACTAAAGTGTTATTTATTATATAAAACATTGTATAATTATGATTATAGGTCTTAGTGTTCAACAGTTAACCATTAACATACTATTAAGTCGTTAAATACAACCCATTAATATAGAAGAAACAAATGAGAAGTTTAAGGTCATTAGTATCTATATTTGTTTTGACAATATTCAAAGTGTTCTTTATTCTAGTGTATTTGTTTCCATGTAACTCACGTACACACGCAAATACAATAATAAATTAGTTTTTATCCTAAAGGAAAACAAAAACATTTTTTTTTAAATATAAAATATAATTATTTAGTCAAGTTAAACATTGTACATTTATTATCCGTGAAAGATAGTTTCATATTTTTTTTTCACGATGGACAATAATATTCACTTTTTTTTATAATTGTATGTGAGTACACTAAAGTGTATGCTCTTTTAAAATAGGTATTATGTTTTATTTACCTAATGTATAATATTATTATGTATACCTCATTTTCAACTTTACAAACACCCACACACGTTAACAACATATGAATACGGTTCGTATTAAAATCAATACGATTTTATCCTTCAATATTTAAAATCATAAACGTATTGATTTAGTTAAATTTTGAATTTTTATGTTTAGGTACTTATATAGCAACATTAATAATTATCTTTCAAATTGTAATCGTGGTTTTATAAAATGTGCAGTGAAGACAGGATGAGGTATTAGAATCGTTGTAAAGTTAACTAGACTTTCTTTTTATTGTCATTCGATGTCATTGATGATTTTAAATAGATACAAATTATTACAAATAAAACTAAAAGTAATGTACTTACATAAATATTGTAAGTTTACGGAAACTTATTTTCTAGTTTAAGACTACAATATTAAAAATCATTGTTATCATTGAACATACAAAAATACAATTATTTTAACGAATAAGACAATTGATAATTTAAAACATTTTATTCAAAAACAGTTGCATACATATTAAATAATATTTCTACATGTTTATGAAAATTTAATTAAGCTATTAAATATTTACTCAATGTATGGTGTAAGGTATTTGTTTTATACTAATATTAATATAACATTACTTTTTATTAGATTGTGTTGCATATTGTTTGGAACTTAACTAAATATATTACCACTTTAAATAACAAATTATTATTTTTATTTAAAAAATGTTAATCTCTAGAGTATATTTATCTAAAATTGTTCTTGTACAAAATATTCATATTAAAAGGAAAATATTTATACTTATTTATTTAGGTACGTGCTATAATCATTTAATCTCCTGTGAATTTTTCTCTCCGTTCTGGTTTTCTAAACTCAATATTGTAATACCTAAACATTATTGTTGACAATATTTACAACACAATATTACCATATTAATTAAAACTATACAATATATTTCATACTGAAAATCACAGTGTATAAATAATAATATTTACGAAATATAAAATTCATGTCTTAAAATATAATGATTGTATATTTATCTATTTATGATTGTTAGTTAAAATTAAACTTTATATACATTATCATTATCATACATTATCGTTGTAATTTATAATTAATAATTACACCAAAATGAGTATGTTGTTGATTTACGATTGATGGAATTAAATAAATTCAACTATTTGCTAAAAGTCAAAGACATAAAAAAAAATGTTATTTGTTGTATCAAATTAATCAAGAATGCCACATATTGTCAGGGGCGTAATGAGAACACTTTTAAATGTCTTTAGATATATATACTCAAACATTTTATTATTTCTTTTTACAATTTTTAAAAATTAAACAGATACGTGAACCCCTTAAATATTGCTACTGTTGCGTTCTTTATCGGATATTATGAACTTCTTGTAATCTCACAAAAAACGACTTAACTTTTGAAAATACTACTGCTTAGACTTCTCAAAAAAAATATACTGACTCTATTGAAATACAAATATTGAAATATTGCGATTAAATTTAAAATTAATTTCCCACACTTTTACTTTAACTTAAGATGTTCTTGAGTATTTTAAAAATCGATTCGGCGAATAATATAAAAATGAAAACATAAAAGAGTATACTTAAGTCGAATAAATTTAATAATGTATTATAAAAATATATACATTGAAAATAAGACGATTGTGGACGTTGTTCATAATATCTTGTATTATGGTAGTGAATAATACATTATATACGTTTTATGCGAAGTCTATACAGCTGATATTATAACGATCATATACTCCCTATTATTGTGTTCCAGTAAGTGTTTATATAAGTTCATATTGCGAATCTACACCATATATATTCCTATTATACTAGTATGCCGACAAGCACATTAATCTCGAGGAAAGACTTTTAAGATAAATAAGCGGCCAAGACGAAATCTATATTTATATGCTCTTCGAGTGTTCACTACTCGACATAGTATTATATTATTATGCTCCATGGTAAAACAAATAATTCCCATATTATGATTAAAATATAAATTTTAAAAGTATTAATAAAACTATTTTTGGATTTTAATTCACGAGAATTAGGACTTTAGGTAAAACTATTTTGAAAGTGCTGCCCAAGGATAATATTATATACCCACCGCATATAATAAAGTTGCAGACACTCATCATGGTTCGCTCGACCCAACGAAAAAATCAATTACTATTATTTTTCGTTATATAATCAATAATATATTATGTAATATTATTTTTCCTAGAATTGGTGATTCAAAACCATTTGTATTATAAAGCTACTTCAAGTACATATTTTTTTTTAATCATTATGAGTATACTATATTATTATATAGTCTGTCTTAAAACTTGATTTGAATTTCAATAAAAACGACCAAATATGTAATAAACATTAAAAACATAATAATGTTCTTGCAGCTGATTATAACCTGATTGGTTGTTTTTATTTCTTATATCTGTGTGTGGGAAGAATACTCCAAAGCAATAATAATGTACTTGCGTCATATGTCTGTGTGCACAATTATTAATTTTTATAAATTTTTCTACGAATTTCTCGGATAATTCCATGACAAAGATTTCTACACACGTGTGCTATTAAATTGCATATCTATGGTGCCGTGTTATTCTTATATCCAATATTATGACGTATAATAATATTTTACACAACATAATATACGGTCTAATAATATCAGAAATACATAAAATAGGATAGCTATAAATACAATTGAAATAAATATTTTAGTACTCTATAATATAATAAATTATACCGCATATAATCAAAAATTCCATAAACCAGCATCTATTGCAACTGTGGTTAAAAATTTGTTTCAATATTTTAAAATATAAAGTCGTACAAACAATATTAAATTCATTAAGATTATAAATACAATTAAAATGTACGATAATTTATTCGTTTAAAAACAAATAAATTAAAATATCAAATAATATAAAATGTACATAATATAATGACATGCACAAGGTTAAAAATTAATAATAAGCCATTTACTTAAATAATACAAATAATATAATCTCTTTAATTTATTTCAATAATAAAATATGATTGATAAAACAATACCTTAAATCGTGTTAGTGACACAAACCTATAAAATAATTTGAATGATGTCTACAAAATTGCTTATGGACGCAATGCACCTATGGGATATCAACTTTTGACAGTTACCGTATAATATGTGAGTTCCTTAGTGTGTATGGTTATTTTTAT